AATGGCTTTGAAAAGAGAAAAAGATTCAAAAAGGCCAAATCAGTGATTTCCAGATAGAGCTTGAATGCAAGCAAGGATGACTTGGTTCTGTTTTTAAATGTTTGTGTAGCTTATGGTGGTTGCAGGGTTTTGTTTGTTTGTTTGTTTTTTGTAGTTTTATATATTATTCTTTTTACAAAAAGTGAAAATGTAAGATAGTGGGAGCATGTGGTGTGAGCTGATATGGGATGATTTGGTCTAAGGAATTGTTTGGTTTCCTATAAAACCTGGAGATCTCTGTACTGCTTAGGCTGGGTTTTAAATTTGAGATCAGAACTTAATCCTGGTGTCAGTGCACTCCTCTATTTGATCACCTTTTTGTTACTTCCATTGAGTAGAAACGGCTTCATTCTCACTGATAACTGCCTTCCGCTTGGGCTGTGGTGGGGTCGCTGTGGGAGGGGGTGTTGGCTGCTCCTTGACRGCGGCTCCCGTGTCCCAACCGCAGAGCTGGTGAAGCGGCACGCCGGGGTGCTGGGCCTCAGCGCCTGCATCCTGTCCAGCCCCTACGACGTGCCCACGTGGATGCCCCGGCTCCTCATGGACCTCAGCGCCCACCTCAACGACCCGCAGCCCATTGAGGTAGCCCCGCGCGCCCGGCGCCCGCTGCTGTGGTGGGAACGCGCGCGGCTGGGAGAGGGACACCCACCCGCGTGGGGGCTCCCGGGCCCCTGCCCGCCTCGGGGTCCGTGTGCTCCCACCTGCAGCGTGGCTCCCGTGCTCCCTGCGCTGCCTGGAATTGCTGCTCTTGCTTCTGAGCTTGGGAATGAGCTGGAAGCTGCAGGAGTGGTACCTGTAATGGTACCCGAGAAACCTGATAAGGGAGAATCTTACTTGATTTAAAAGGGTCCTTTTTGTGCATGCCCATAAAGGTACCACCGAGTCCATTTGGAGGTCTAGAAGACAGAAATCTGAACAAAAAAAAATCTTTCTCAATTGCTTTCGAAAACAAGGTTTTKAAATTTGTTTTTAAAGTTGTCTTTAAGTGAAATTTTTGCCCTCTGCTCCGTCAGCTCTGTTTTGTTGACTGGTGCTGTTAGAGTGGGGGGCTTGCCTGCTCAACAGTCCTGTAATTCTGACATTTTATTGGGACATTCTTTACTGATTCAGGAGACTATGATAATATAATCATAGCTTAAAATATTTTAATAACGGAAGATCATTTTTCCTCTATGTGAGTTATATACATGACTAATCCCATATGACTTTCTCATGTTTTACTTGAACTTCCCTTGAACTGTGTTCAAGAATAAGTCAAGATAAGAGGCTTATCTCAAAAAACAAGCAAGGAGAGGAAAACCATTTATTTTCTTTACACTTCCCAAGAATCTCTTAACTGTTCACTGTGCAGTTTCAGATTTAAGAAAAATTTGCCTCTTGTCAGATTGTTGAAGTCTCGACTCTGGTTAAAGCCTCAACCCCCAGTATAAAAATGCCAGGCAGGGCCCGGGCCCGGAGCCCCCCGCCCGGGGCCTTGCCCGCGCCTTCCTCGCAGTCCCTCGGCTGTGGTGCTGGAGCGCGCTGTGGCGCGGGGTTAGAGCCGCGGCTGCTGCCGGCTCCACGCCGCCTCTCTGCTCTGCAGATGACTGTGAAGAAAACGCTGTCCAATTTCCGGCGGACCCACCACGACAACTGGCAGGAGCACAAGCAGCAGTTCACTGATGACCAGCTCCTGGTCCTCACAGACCTCTTGGTTTCACCGTGCTATTACGCATAGATAGGTAAGATTGTATCTTTTGGCATAAACTGAGAAAAATGTCCGTTTTGGAAAACTTAACTCTAGCTCTTCAGTTAGCCTGGCGGAGGGAGGAGATCCCCAACTGGGAGCGTGTTCTTGGCAAATAAAACAGTGCGTTTTCCAGTACTGGGTTTGAGTGGATACTGTGGTCTGTCTTTGCACAGGTGTGTGCAGCAGGCACCGACCGCGCGTGTGCCCGAGTGCCCCGTGACCCCCATGGCGCAGGGGGAGCGATTGCTGCCAAACCCTTCCCTCTTCCACGTGGCGGCCTTGGAACCAGGAGCATGTCCCAAGAGCACAGCCCTAGCTATGCTGAGATCCTATCCATGTGCCTAGATCCTGCACAGGGAGTTGTCCTTGATAAGCTGCAGTCATCTGTCCTGTGTTGTGGTGTTTTGTTACGGGCTTCCAAGAGAAATCCCTGTTTTTATTTAGTTGTGGGGTAACAACGTGAGGCAACTTTCTTTTTTTTTTTTTTTTTTTTTTTTGTCTACTTTTGGGGAAAGAATAGGATTTAAAAACCTTTTAAAAAAAAAAAGGAAACCAAAAAAAAAAAAAAAAAAAAAAAAAAAGTATTACCTAGAAACCTTTGTATTGGACATCCTGATGCCTCATCAACCACTTTTAAATACAAATATAAAGGCCTGGTTCTATTCCTAAGGAATTTCACCTTCCCAGGAGCCCCATAGCCTTCAGCGAGCCCGATGCTGGTTGGTACCGCCCAGCCCCTGGTCGCTGCCCGCATCCCTGCATCCCTCACGTGCCCTTGGTCCCGCGTCCTTGCACAGAGACTCGCTCTGCACCTTTCCTGTCCTCTTCTTCATCAGGTCCTTCCTCCCTGCTGTTCCCAGCACCAGGGATAGGCAGACCCAGCGGGCCGGCTGTAAAGCAGAGTAGTCTCAGAGCAGCTCCTGGGTTTTGCTGCTGCACCTTCCTGCCCGTCCAGCCTGACGCGCCCTTGTCAAAGGATTTATTTTTCACTCCTTGGGTTGAGTCCCCACCGGACGGTGGGCCAGGTATCATTAATCCACCTCAGGGCAGGGTTGCCTTTTTGTATCTTCTTTGCAGAAATGTAAATAACTCATTTTTCTCTGTGCAGCAGAGAGGACAGCAGGCCAAAACGTGGGCAGTGCAGCCTGGCCCGCGGGGCCAGGCCCTGCTGGCGAGCGTGGCCGGCCCTGGGGAAGAATCCAGCGCTGCCTGCGGAGTTGTAAGGGGGAAGAGCTGTGGGTGTTGGCAGGGGTAGAGCCCTAGCTCTGGAATCGGGGCCTGGCACGTGGTGGTTGAATTGACAGCATGAAGTGTATGCACAGTGTGTAACGGCCCTGACTAGCTGACAGCGTCTTCCCGTAGAGAGTGTCAGTATTTGAGCCAGCACAACTTGCTCCAAGATTGTGGACGCGCTGTATTTTCCTTTTGCCTGCAGCTTTGGTCAGAGACTGGTATCTATTGGCTATTTAACAATATGTTTAATATGTGTTACATAGTTGTAAAAGACTGTATAAATTGTAGAGCATTGCATTGACAAGACATTGTACAGTTTGCAACCTTTTACATAACACCATTGTGAGATTAATTTGTAAAGATTCATACTTRGGTGTTAATACTGCAGTAGTTCTGGCTTTTGTATCAAATCAAATGCCATGATTAGTTTTTTAAATTATTTTTCTTTAACATAATATCTCCTGGTGTCTAAAAGGCAGAGATTTGGGTTCCTTGAGTCTCACAGTCCGGTGTCTCGTTTGGATTTGAATGCAGCTCTTGTGGCCAGGGCTGAGTGCACGGGGGCCTGCGGGGCAGAGCGAGCGCCCGCGGGGCAGCCTCGTGCCAAACGGGCGAGCACCCAACGCAGGGAGCGTTTGTAACGGGCGAGCACCCAACGCAGGGAGCGTTTGTAACGGGCGAGCACCCAACGCAGGGAGCGTTTGTAACCGCTTGTCTTTCTAAAGGGAAGGAGCTGCTACTTCTCTGAATATATAAGATTGTTGACTATGATTTTGAGCTTTTTTTTTTTTTTGTATGAGGTGTGTGTTTCTTGTGGGACTTGGCAGTGAATTAAGGCAACATTAAGGGTTAATCAAAGAACCAGCTCTAATTATTGAAGCACCTTTTTTTTTTTTTTAAGGAAAAAAAGTCTGAAACTTAGCAAAACTTGTTAATCTGTGAAGTTCACTTAAAATTGGAGAAACCAAGATTGAAATGGAAGTTTTYTGCTATCTTCTAGAATTAAAAAATCTTGAAATAAAAGTATTGGCAGTAAAAACGCTCTTTGAAGTGATGTGGTGCCTGATTGAAGGAGAAGGGAAGGGGCCGGGGGCTGTGCTGTGCAGCTGCCAGCAGCAGCGCTGCAGCGACTGCTCCTGTGCCCGCTACGGCAACAACCTGCTCCCCACTCCTCCTTAATGCTCTACTACTGCGTGGGAGGGGAAAGCAGCAGGAAAGGGCCTCCTCTTAAAAACCTTCTCTTTTTACAAKCCAGGGAGTTGCTCAGGGAAGCACCAGCCCCTCAGCAGAGAAGCAAACACCATCTTCCCTTCCCAGCATCAACTTGCATTTTCTGCAAGCGCTGCCACCCAACAAAAAGGCACTTACATAATTTTCAAGCAAAAGCTTTATTTTAGCTTCTTTGTGTTAAAAACAATTACTTCACTATCAATTTTACATAAAACTCARGACTGCAAATAAACAAGCTGTACTTCTCCCCAGTCCCACTTTTCCTTGAGCAASCTGTGGGGGCGGCTGCAGGAGCCAGGCAGTGGCACGCGTGTCCCACTGCTGCGCGGGGCTGCCTGGGCCCTCCCAGGAAACAAGCCCCGCGGCGCCTGCTCCTTCCCACGAGCAGCTTCCCTGCGGGGCTGTCACAGGCRCTGCTCTTTTTTCCAGGAATCAAGGTATTTGTTTAAAACATTTTCGTTACAACGGTAACATCCAAACTGAATGAATTTGCATGATCAAGCTTAGCAACTTAGGTTCTATACATTCTGAATGTACAATTACCATTAAAAATGCCTGCGTACAAAGTAGAGTTTTGAGTTGGGGGGAATCATGGGCTAGGTTTCAATTACAAGGTTTAAAGAGAAAACCAAAGTTAAGGCCTGTTGGCACCAGGCGGGTGGAGCAGGCAGCTCCCGCGCTCCCTGCGCCGCCTCCGCTGCTGCACCGGCCTTGGAGCGAGCTCCGGGGGGCACTTTGTGCCAGACCCCCCSAGGGGACCTTAGGTCTGGGAAAAGCTGCCACGGGTGAAGAGAGAATTAAATGCTAGCCGCTACAGTTAATTAATGCAGAATTATTTCAATAAAATGTAAAAGTTATTCTACTTACAAAGTAAATACTGCAGTGGAGTCTGATTTACAACCAGTTAGCCAGAGAACACAGCTAATGACTWAAACACATACATTAGTTAAAAAGTCAAATATATACAAAAATATATTAGAAAGTGGTCAGGTTTAACCACAGGCTCACGTAAAAAAATGTTGTTTTAAATAGCAATAGCAAAAAAATAGCTATTTTCTCTATTTGCAATAGTACAAAAGGCAAAACCTACAGATGAGGTAGCAATGCCAAATTCACAAGAAACACTTTGGATTTAAGAGCATTTCCTACATTTTCATAGCATATCTGTCAATACAAATATTTAAATGAACACTTCAATTGTTCCAAGAATTAATACATTAATTTACAAAAAACCTTTCATAAAAGAACATTTTTAAAAAAAKTACTGGAACTGGATGTAGTTAAAAAACGTCTCCCAGCCCTAGAAGCGCCCTCGCACGTTGCAGCGCCAACGCTGCACCGCAGAAGCCTCGTGCTGCCCCGCTGGGACGCAGTCGCTGGGACGCAGTCGCACACGGCTGTGGTACAGGGGGCAGCCCGAGGCCGGGGCCTCCCGCTCTCCGCTGCCCGGGCTGGGCCCCCTGCCCGTCGCTACGGCGGGATCAGGGCTCAGCCTAGGGGCGCCGGATGGATTCAGGTATTTATTGTAAAGAAAACAATATATTTTACATCACAGTGCTTCATTAAATGCAATTAAAAGAAAATGTAAACTCAGGATTCTAGATACAATTTTACTTGAAAACTGGGCTTCAAGACGTTTGAAAATTCACAATTGTTTTTAATTTGACATCACAGTAAGTTCACATAACTCAGAGCTGTAAGATTACTGGTAAATACCTGTGAATGCACTTCAGCGTTTGGTCTTTTTTTCTTTTTAAAAGCCTAAATGACAAACAGACCAAGTGCAAAGGTAAGAGGTATTTGTCTTCTTTTTTTTTTATTTGCAAAGACACTAACTTTAGAAGTAACTTGCAAACGAGCCCTCTGGAGTGCGTTAATAGATGTAAGGGAAGATGCGGTAGGGGACGCGCTGGCAGTACCTTTCCCAGGCCAGGCCGTATTTCTTCTTACAGTGATGTTCATCACGCGCTTCTCGATGAACCAGCAAGCAGATGAAATAAATCACATAAAAATATGGCAGAATATGACTGAAGCCTGTAGAACAGAACAAGAAAGATCATTTATGATTTTATGATAGCCAACATCCAGCTTTGGCTCTGGAGAGCACGCACTGAACTGGGGCCGTATTCCTACTCAGCACTGAGGCATCTTTTACTTGTGAAGAACCAAATACTAAGTGGGATGGTGCAAGAGCTGGCTAAGCTTTCATGAAGGATCAGCATTTAAACCCKACTGGACAAAGCCTCCCTAATTTCTCCCAGTTATAAACCTTCTGAGAATCAAAAAGTCTTCAGTAATGTCAAAGCCAGAACYCTCTTCCTCTGTATTCGATCACACAAATGTATTTTTGATGTATTTTGATTAAAATCCTTCCCTATAGTTGGGAGCTCTTGCCTCCTGGCAGAGAAACTCCTGGTTTTGGGGAACTCCTGTTAAAAACCCCACAGCGCAGCTAGCACTGTGCCCTAGAGCCCCCAGGGCGCTCTAGCCCCACTGCCCGCCCCTGCAAGGCACACAAGCCTCACTTCAGTGACAAGCACACTGCTTCTGCAGTAAGATATTAAAGGGTAAGATATGACACAAGCTCACAGAAAATAGCTGCTACAGCACGTTTGCAGCAGCAGATATTTGACTTTCATGTAAATACAGCTCAATATCTACGCCAACTCTCGCTTTGCTCTCCAGCCGTACCCGGGCACGCGGGTAACGCGCCTGCGCCTGCRGCACTTCCTTACCACAGGGCAGGGACCAGGCCAGGGCCATGATGATGTCGCCGAGGTAGTTGGGGTGCCGCACGAACCCCCACCAGCCCGTGACGAGCAGCCCCTTGCCAGTCGCCGTGGGTATGAACTTCAGGTCTGTGAACAGCAGCGCAGGCRAGACACCAATTGAAACATGCTTTTAAACAATACAAAGACACTGTATAGCAAGTGAAAAGAAAAATCCAAAGCACTCACAGGCCAATTTAGGGTCTGAAGGATTCCTTCGGAATCTATTTTTCTGAGAATTTGCGCTACGGAATATGTAATATCCAATACCTGGAAGAAAAARAATCAAATAGTAACACTGCACTTTCAATCAACATTTCCCACCGTTTTCTTCAACGAGAGCATGCAGCTGATCCCTGTTGTGCTTATTACATCACTGAAGAAAAGCTTTTATGTAACTCATACTCTCGAGTTGTCAGAGCTCTAATAGAATAGGGATGTTATTGGAAATCTGCACTCCGTATGTTCTTACATACATTACACATGTATGCAAATGAGGCCAAGCTTCAYTTCCACAGCAGTTTTACATTCCTATCTAATAAGCAATTCCCATCTAATATGCAGAGACGCTCAGGGCCAGAGTCGGCGCCGCCGGCACCCCTGGAAGGCACTGTCACTTACAGTTGAGGACAGTAATAGCCGAAGCAACGGGCCACGAAATGGCAGTGGGGTGAGTGACCAAGTAGAAGGCTTGCAGGCTGTAGACGAACGGAACCCACACCAAGTCCCCGAAGGCCAGCATGAAGCCGAAGCCGTCGTGGGTGATGTCCATCGTAGTCAAAACGGCTTCCTAGAAACACGGAGAAAGGAAATGAGAATTCAGGAAGCCTCCTTGTTTCAATCCTTCTTGAATTAAAAACGGTAACAGGTTAACGCAGGCATCAAGGGCATCATCCGTCACTCACCTCGTTCCAAAGASCATCTACCACGTAAAGCAGCTGGAAGCCGTTCACCAGCACCATGGCCAGCGAGGGCGCGCTTTCATTGTGGAGCTTCATCTCAGCCRACAGCATCGCCAAGTTGATAACAACCTATTCAAAGTATAAAAAGGTAAACCGTGTACTGCACGTTTTGCCTGTGGGCATAAACATGTCCTTTGCCATTACATTACAGGAAACTTTAAAGTAATAACCTGTKTCACAAACTACAGCTACTAACTACAGTGCCAGAGGTGCCATCTCACTATAGATCAACACTTAAAAAGGCTCCTMTTTCCGCCACAGCAAAGGGGCCAGAGCACAGAAATGGTTCTCTCATGAACAGGAATGGTCACTATAACATCTGCCAATGTGCAACCATTTGTAAGTATTTTTTCCTGTGTGTGATCATCAAGCAAAAGGAATAAAACCGACTATTTATTGACTCACCCAGCCAATTAATCCTGGACGCAATTCACAGAAATACTTGAGGTCAAAACTGCCAATACGAGGGTTTAATTCGTGTCCAGTAAAGAAGTCATAGACAAGATACCCTACAGATAAAACACACTCTGTTAGTGATGCTTTTCTCTTTTATCCTCCACCACACTCCCTCAAAGCAGCTGCTGTTTCAGCCTCCATTTGAAGTTCTCCTGCTATATCAAAAAGCATTAAGCTTGGCTAGAAAAATGCAGAGGTATCTGCAAAATATGAAGCAAAGTTAACTGGTTTCTATGTTAAGAGATCTAAACAGTTTACTTATTAAAAGGACTCAACAGTTTACAAGTTAACGCAGCACAATTGCTTCCTGACAGTTATTCCTTCATTCCGCAGCTTGAAGCTTGTCACATTCTGCAAGAACCTGATGTAAAATACTAAGTATTTTTCTCCCTACTCTCTTTCCGTGGGAGAGCAATTCCGCTAGCAATGGCAGCAGCCTGTCCATGCGGAGGGGTGGCAGGAGGCCAACGCCACGACGCGGGCTCGGGATACCTTGCCCTGGGGTAGCAAACACGAGCACGCAGCACCCGCCGCGCAGGCGCAGGGCGCTGCTGCGCCGCCTTGGGAGACCAGAACTGCTCTGCTGCAAGACGGAAACCTTCYGCACCGCCACCTTCTCTCTCCTCACACACACACACACACCCCCCCCCCAGCACCGGCAAAGAACCGAGGGTTCCTGAACGTYTCCTTTTAATCCTCCAGTATTATGTCTGGAAAGTTCCTCGGTTATTTAGCCTGTTACCATTTTTAAAAGCAGCTGATTTAACGTTGAACTCGGAACACAGAACTGCTTGGTTAAATGTGCCTGAGCTGCGTGTCCAATCAAAATACTCTTCCGAAACCGCAGKTCAGCTAAATCTGTCAGTGTACAGCAAAATCCAAGCTGCCCTAGAAATACAGTATAATTTAAAGTGCTACACTGCTGGAATTTCTCATTTTTTTCAGTTTTTCCTTTCATTCTGGATTGTTTCTGGGAAAAGGGGCRCTAGGAAGCTACCTAGATGGTTTTCAGTCTTTAGAAAACTGGAATCTCCTCTCATAGCCAGAGGACAGGGCCCCTTTAAGCTATTTTTGAGCAAGCTACGCAAAACAATCCAAATAAACATGGACACATTATCTGTATCTGAATAAAGTCTTTCAATAAAAACTCCACTTTCACCACCTGATAGAAAGGTTCTATATTGGTAGAAAGGAAAAGTCACAGGATTATAACAACAAGCCCTAAACCTACCTAGCTATGATCTAGCTTTTAATTAAATGAGAATAACACTAACAGCAACAACAAAAGTAGTGAATATTTGGAATCAAGTTATCCAAGGTCCTTGTAACTCACCAGAATTCCCACCCGGTGCTAGTTCTTCCTCCGGTGTTCGCAGGGACCGAACATACAGGTAAATGCTCAATCCCAGAGAAAAAGCTGCAGCCGATACTGCAAATTGCAGGAAGTGATCATACAAATAGGTAAGCTCAAACTGAAAATACAGTAATGCTCCAATAGATGCAGCAGTCAAAACAAAAGCATAAAATCCTGAAAGAAGAAAAAACAAAATATGTCAGCAAAAACTACACAAAAGGTTTTTCTCTGTGAACATTTTTTCTCTGTGAAAACTGAACCTACCCAGGCTAGTCTAGACCCAGATGATAAATTTGCTTCCTTCTTTGGAAGCAAAGCCAGGTCCAAAGAAAGACTCAAAACTGCTCTTTGCCAGGCAAGAATAAGAACATTTTAAATCACTTGTAACAACTTCTATCAGCCTGTAGCTCAGCGATACCCAAGAATAAGACACGCGTGCGTATTAGCTAAGGGCAGCACATTTCAGCAGGAGCCCCTGCGGCTTCCTTACCATTTATCCTGTAGTGCAGCTTCCTCCCGCTGGAGAGCGGCAGCCCTTCCACAACCTGGGAAGCAGAAAACCGCCGTGCTGAGACACAGCCCTGCGGGGAGGCGGGCGCCTCCCTCCCACACACCTCCCATCCAGGGAGCCGGTGGCAGAGACACACGCAGCGCTGACCATCACGCCCCACGCTACACACACACACAGGCACACATCCCATCTGGGGTTTAAAAGGAAAATGGGTATAAAGGTACAAAACTGTGCAATTTTCCTTAACTGGCATCATGAGAGCACAGCAAGTGCTTCTCTCACTTCAAAACTGTGCAGCACTAGAGCGACAAGATTCCTATTTATTCCAGTGTTCTTTCAGAAGCCGGCAGTATCTCTGAAAYCACACACACACAAAAGCCCCAAATAGACCATTCTCCAGATCATACACATGGCTAGAATGGTTAAGAGTAACTTTACAGAAGTGAAGATTACTTTATAAACTATGTATGAGCTTTCTTACTTGAAACCAATTAGRAAGTCCAAACTGTCTGCAGGTTGAGAAGTCAGCAGATAGCTGAAATTCTTCCAGGTTTCTAACATGCAAATTTGCATTTGTATGACACTGACTTTGCACTGCATGCATTTGCATGACACTGCCTTCCCAAAAAATCTTTTCTGCCTTTTCTGCTATGAAGTAGGGGAGAAAAATAACAAGTTGTGCTACCTCAAACTTAGACATGCACAGTAGCACTAATCCAGCTTAACATGAGGAAAAAAATAATTTGCACTAAAAATGCCTTTCAATTAAGAAGAGACCCCCATTTTCAGCTTTCACAAGTCTATTATCCATAACAACACAGCTGCTACTGGAAATCTTACCTTCCCAATCGGCAGCAAGTAGAACAGTGCTTGAAGGAAAAACCACAGCAGGACGATACCGAACACCTTGGTGTCCCAAAGGCTTTCCAAAGCTGGCAGGGGAGGAGGGAAGTTCAGAAGACTGGGGTCATCCTGCTTGCACATCAGCAGCAAGTACAACACCGTGGCAGGCAGGAGAAGTATCATCATGAAGGTCCCTGTAAACAGACACCATACAAGACTTAAAAACAAACGTGGGAAGTAGAAAGCTCATTTAGTCTCCACTAATAAAGCTCTGGATTACACTGTGGKGTAGAGGAGTGGTCAGGAGCAGTTCCTGTAGACAGGAGCAACCACCAAGCACTGTAAGAAGAGAGAGACTCTGCTCTAGACCCCATATTAAAACTAAACACCCACAGATCATCTGCTCATCCTATTTCTAACCTGATACCCAGCTAAAATTTACCTAAATGTCACAATGTTACATGTTTTAAATCTGGAGTAAGATGTTGAAACTTCATTAAGCACAGTATTTTGATTATAAAAACTGTCTTTCCAAGAAACTCTATAAAGAATACTGGGAGTACCTTTTTTTAAAAAAAATATAAAAATATATTTTTTTAAATATAAAAAGTTTGCTAGCTATTTCTGAATTGTATTTAGGAAATATTTAAATTTCACTGTTCAAGAGAAGATCATCACTATATATCACAGGAGTATCAAGTGTAATAATTGTTTTTTGGTTTCTATCAATGTCACTACAGACRTGGTCATAGGACAGACTATGGAATCTGAAACTGGAGTCCAAAAACTGGCAAAACTTTCTTGACACGACAGTACAGTCAGTAAGCAGAAATGCAAAAGTGGGGATTTTCAAATATTATTACAATTTTCACACATACCAATTCTTCCACCAAACTCGAGCTCCTTTGTTTTTGGTGATGCTTTTTCAGTACTTGCAGTACTTGTTACTGCCTCAAAAATCTTTTTTTCTGAATATATCTCTTCTTTCTTCTTTTCTTCTCTTCTGGAATGCAAGCTGTACTGATCAAGCACACGCTGTATTTCCAGATCCGGTTTGAATTTTTGCTGATAATAAATAATTAAAAACATTTTTTTTTAAAAAGAAATAGTATCCCAAAGTGATTTTACATTATTTTACCCCAGTACTTTATTCACTGCAAAATGCAAACTTACAACCTCTTAAACTCCTCTGTTGATGTGAACAGTCTACTAAAGCTGGTGTCACTGTTACCACTTAGGCAGCAGTAACCAACACAGCCGCATCCCCACTACAGGTCATGCATCTCCTCTCTCTTCCTTGTGCAGCAGCACAATAAGCAGGATTACAGAAAGTTTGTATGAAAAATGATCTGTTCTTGCATCCCAAACACAGATTTATTCATGTTAGTACCGCCAAGTGAACATTTACAGCACAAAGAAGCACAGGAACAAGCACAAGGCGCCAGTGAGAGCTGGCTGGAAAGGCAAGCAAGCAAATCCATGTAACCCAGCTCTAGTTCTCTCCCTTCTGACAACTTTATCTCCCTCTGCCCTCATCTTAGTGGGCTGAACAGTGAAGGCTTTTAAACTCTCTAAGTTTTATGTTGCCCTGAAACTTCTCTTTGACTATGGTTGTGCCTATTTCTAGTGATTTCTGAGAAAACTAGAGCAGAAAACAACATCAAGCTACGAATACAGAAAGTATTTTTTTGCATCATTACCTCCAAGATTTTGCTGGAAGTATCATTTCTTTCTGTACTGTCAGGTTCACCATTGTATCTTCTGGTGTTGTTCTCATTCATTTTCTGGTAAAAACAAAAATATAATTTCATTTTTCTCAAAATGATCCACATTAAGTCTTAGCATATGATGAATGACTGGAACACTTAACAATTTTATTTCACCTGTAACTGCTCCTGTCACAAGCGTGGGCACTGGATCACACAGCTCTGAACACTTTACTCCAAGCAAAATCCAGAGTAACTCCAGGGCAAAAGAATGCCCTGAGCAGTTACAATTTAGGCAAACTAAACCTGATCTATTTTCAGTCCATCTGCAAAAGGCATTTCCAATACTGGGGACCATCTCAAATAAGTATCACTTAGAGCAATCTAAATAGTACAAGAGACAGAGGACATGCTGGTTGTCTCATAGTACAGAAATATAATCCCCATTATTATTCACTCACAGAATAGCAGAACTAGTTACAGTGTCCACTCTAATCCTCACAAAAAGGCTGAGAATCAACACGCTAAATTTCAGCTAGGAAACATAAATTTACCAACTTTTCCAAAATAGTTTTTATAACAAAAACAGTTCTGCACCACTATTAGACATATATTTTCTACCTGTAAATTTTGCAGCAATTCTTCTCTCACAAGTTTTACATGGCTTCAAATACTGTTTTAATGAACTAAATATGAAAGCAATATTTATTTCATTTCTAATTCTAATATCAACCAATTGATCAATACATCTTAAATGTATTTACATCTAATATCAACTAATATTGATCAATACATTTTAAAAGCAGGCTAAGTTCCTTTCTCCCATTTTACAAATGTAAAAATGTGTGGCTACCAGGTGAATATTAAAATTCTTTGTGTTTCTTTCAATTCTGAAAATTTCACAATCTCAATGGATTCAAAGGGAACATGACAACACGTGTTTAGAGAGCTCTCTCACAATTAGGTAAGCTAGGAATGGTATTTTCTAAGGCAAAGGGCAGTTCCGAAATAAACTTTTGCAGTCAATTATGCTGCTGAGGGAACACGAAGTACAGCAGACTTCCACAACGAGAAGYCCAGCCAACAGCAAAGAAATATTTTTCAATTGTAATAAAAACAAACAAACAAAAAATACCAGCAGAACGAGGTCTGTTTCCTGAGCAGTTTTCTTTTTGTCCTCTTTACGCTCTCTGCTCTGGGAGGAAGAACGACGCCTGCCTCTTCCTGGCCGCCCAGGGGACCTAGATCGAGACCTGCTCGTGTTTCTTCTGGAAGGAGAGCTCGAAGACGACTGGCTTTTCCTGGGCTTGAACGAGGATTGTGACTGAAAGAGAGAGGGGAAAGAAAATAAAGAATTTTATAGAGGAAAAGTGATCATCTCCTTTGGTCTTCTATTTCTGATTACATACTGGCACAGCTGCAATAAATTGATCAATTTAGTTACTTCAGAGTAAGCTACTTTAGCTACTACTGTCGAACTGATGGTGAATTGGGCTTGGCACAGAATATCTTTTTTAAAAGGTGTGAATACCAGGAGGTCCATATGCTACTGCTAGATTTGTAAATTGCTCATAATGTCACAGATGTTGATGCTTTGTTACATTTTCTGAAAATATCAGGGGATATAGAAAATAGTACCTTCAGAAATCTTATGTCAGACATTTCAAAGAATAGTTTCAGAAAATTGTTTTTTTTTTTTGTGATGAGGTTCCTGGCACTAGGGTCTGCAGAATTTGGTCCCATCTCATTTACTTACGCTGTACAAGTTCTTAAGAAAGAGCAGCTACAGAATATTTTGTTGGGGGTATGCAGAAAACCCTCTCAAGTGCTTACAATGACTGTCAAACTTGCATTCAAATCCTAATTTCTTAAGCTATCAATGTGGTTAGCAAACTAGTAAGGCTACTATCTGCACTTACATACYATACACATATGAACACTATATTTATATACTATATGTATAATATATATAGTATATACTATATATAGTGTGTATATATACACAGAATACACACTATACATACTACACACACTATATATACACACTATATGCACTTATACACTATACTATAGAAAATACTACCATTTCATTCACTTTACTGATACAACATTTGAAATGTCAAGATGCAATGATCTGTAAAAGACAYCACACCTCAATCTGGGGAAAGATGAGAACTATACTATAGTTTGCATAATATATAATTCAACTATGGATATRAAGGCTGATTTCCTAAGCAATCTGCCCTCCAAGGCATAGACTTCGACTTCTCTTTRAAAGACTATAATGCTATTGTTCCCATACAAAAATTCCATGGTACAATTTTCACAAAGCACAACTTGACCAGGYTATTTACTACAAAGAAAGGAGTTTTTTCAAGTTAGCCATCCTGCAAGCATTCAGTAATAAAGAAAGAAGGGTTAAAAAAAGGTTAAGTTTCTCTAACGAAAGGTAGGAATATTTTTCTTCCCAGAGAAAAAGCCAGTTACAGGACACGTGCACTGGCACCAAAAGGCAAAACTGTAGTTCATATAAAGAACACTCAAGTTAACTGTGAACAGGGCTAAATAGGCCATAAGAAAATCAACTATGGCCTATAGTGAACATTCAAATAGGCTTTTGACTCATGCTTTATCGTATTTCCAACTTGGATGAAACTTGTATGTAGTATAAGGCATTTACTGATAGGAGAAAATGTAGCAGATGTGAAGATGTGTAAGGGGCTCCAATAGGTATGACATTTTCATTTTCCTTAAGTGCCTTACTGTCACAAAAAGAACAAAATATCTTATGAAATCTTTGGGGAATTAACAAAGTGCAAGCTACTCGCATATATTTTAAGCATGTGCTTAAAGAGAACATGCTATTTACAATGACCCTCAACCACAGGTTTGCATTTGTTTTCTTGCTTTATAGCAGAGAATTCACATTAATATCGACCCTCCAATTACTAGCTTTACACCTGAAAATAATTCTTCATGAAATATGATSCTATGGGCATTCTTGAGGAAACTTTTGTTTCCCAAACGTGTCCCTGATTTTTCAATATAAATAAAACAGTCATGCTCCCTTAAAAACAGGACCAGCACTCTGAACTTCTACTTGAGAAGTCATATAAGGAAGCTACTACTTAGCACTAATTCCTTGAAAGTGCAATTATGAAAAACTCACAAAGTAACTGTCCAAATGTAAATTACAACAATTAACATCACAAAACCAGCATGACCTTCTCCCAGAAGCACCCTGAGTTACATGAAGTTCTACTCACCCTTATATCGCTTTCTTTCAACTCAAGCTCAGTCCCATCTTTGTACTTCACAGTATAAAGGTGAGTGACATCGTTGTAACCAGTCACTTGCACTTCGTAATAGAGGACGCTCCCTGGCCAGCGGCCCATCACCACCTCCCCATCAGCAAACCTCCGGGCTGGCATCTTCCAAAAGGAACCTTTGGAAAATAAATAAATTAGTAAGCATGGCAGCTAAAAACCAGGTTTAATAATTAATCAATTGCAAAATATTCTTCACCTTAAATAAGCAAAACGTTGTTTGAAAAGCAAAATCTGTTTTCCACATTAATACAAGACAGAAGACATATTTTAAAATAGAAAAGATGACCCATGTTTGATGTTATAAAGACATTCTATATGTAAGTGCACACTGATCTAGATGCACTAGGGTRTAGGGTCTTCATGACCTCCAATCATCAGAGATCATTAAGTGAAGCCCAAACAACTATTAGACAAAACCCACGTAAACAGAGCGATCCTCCCTGGAGGAYGAAATGGATGATTCCTAAGCATTCTCTAACCTATTTTTGCTGGTTCTAGAAAAATCCAGGATGCGATGAYTTCTAAACGTGAAAACACAATGATTTTCAACTAATCAACATGCACTCTGGTCATCTTAAACACTTTCTAGAAATTATGCCAAGCTCTGAAAGCTGGGAAGCAGCACAATTTAGGCTCCTAGTCCGAGAGGAATTCTTTACGCTTTCCCACCTACTTAGCACAAGGCACGTAGAGCCTCCTGCAGGGATCTGTATGGTGTCAGAGGAATGTCCTGGAAAACTGCACTCTGTCCTCATCTGCAGGATACCCACTGGACACTAGCAAACACAGCTGACACGAGCTCCACTGGTCTGCTAGCAGCAATGCTGCAGGTCATGGCTGCAACTACATAAAGCTCCACATGCATAAAGCTCTGGCCTTTCCAGAGTGCCTTGTGTTATATCACTGTCATCTGGAAATGGGAATCCACAGTACAACATACTTTTAACCTGCATTCCCTAACTTCGGGCTCCATGTACAAGAAAGGCATCTTACAAGGTCAAGGCAAAGAAAAAATAAACTTTATACAATACTAACATTTGTATAATGATCGGAATGTAAGATTAGGAACATCAAAATAGGAAAATCAGCAAATGTTGTTTGATTTTCAAAACAGTTTGACTTCTTTGCCACAAACAAGATGTCAAACCACACAAACTGAGGTGAAAACAAATATTTAGCTACATACTCATTTGCTACACATTAACTAACCAGCAGTGAAAAGTTGGGATTTTTGGGCCAAAAATACTGCTCCCAGGCAATCACGGTACCCATAACCTGTGGGGAGGATGGGTCAAAGCGAGGCTRTGCAATCAACCTTCATTCTGCCATTTCCTGGGGCACTTCTTGGATTTTATGCCTGGGAAGCATTTTAGGTCATAAAAGAAGAAAAAAAAAAAAACTGCAAAATTCCCTTGTGTGGATTTCACTGCTAGTGTCAAAACAGAAAGATGCAGTCAATTTGCTAACGCTGAAACAGAAAGACCCTTTGCTTACTAACATTTGAAGGAACAAAAGAAAATAAGTTACATGGTTTTACCATTTAGCCTCACTTGCTGTCTGCCAGTCAGAAAAACTAGCACCTCTCCAAATTTCCAGTACTGATCTGTGCTCCCATAGCTAGAGGAGCTCTTCTAGCTCCTCTCTCTGCTCTCCAGAGTTTACTGCCCAAGTCTCATTCCTCTTTCTTAYCTTTTCTCAATGCCCACTCATCTGATCTTGTTTTATTCCAGTCAACTGAACCTCCCCCCAAGTCACACCAGTCCTCGTTTCCAACCACATGAAATGCAATTTCCGCATTTTCAATTCATCACCTCCATTCTCTCCCTCTTCCGGTTAAATTCTTGCAAGCTTTTTTTTCTTCTTATGTTTTTCTCCCGCCTTTTCTGCCGTCATTCTCCAAGCTGCTTCCTGTTCCCCAGCCCCACCTCTGGGCTCAAGCACTGATCTCAGTTCCCCTCTTTCACGGTTCCAGCCTCTTCATTCTCTTCCRTCTACAGTCCAAATACCACCTCCTCTCCCAAATCCAGTCATGGATCTGGACCTGATCCTTCATTTCCTCCTTGTTTCTCTACTTCCTACACTTCAGCCAAGTGCTTCTCCTCTTGACCTGCGCTGGCTYGGACATTGTCTGCAAACCCAAAGTCTTTCTGTGAATAAACTGCCAGATGCTAGAGCAAAGTTAACAAGAACAGAATGTTTCCAGTTTAATTCCTTAAAAAACAAAACGTGCTTATTAGCATTTAGTAATGAGATCAAACCCTGAATGCCAGGGTAAATATTATTTCTTATCTCATTAAATATTATGATCTTCTTGTGCAACCTCCTGTAAGGGAGGYTTGCAAACCTCATTCCAGATCTCCCACTTCAAAGGTCTACGCTTTTTAAAGGCAGCATTCCTGCCTGCAGGTTACAGCAGATAGTACTGACATCAAAGGAGATGAGGTCTTAAAACGGGTCATAAAAGGTAAGAGACCTGAAGTATGCAGTTAAAAAATGCATTTTGAAATTATTACTTTTTCAGACACTAAGCACACGTCCTGTGTGCCCGAAGACCTCACCTTACTACACGCTGCACATCTACACAGGCTTTTTAATCCAGCAGGATTCAAAACATGCACCTGTGTCCAGAGGAAAAATTATTTCATAAAGAGTGTTTTGCCCAGCATAAATACTTGAGCCCAAGGAATTAAACTCRGCTCTTTTTGAGGGGAAGCGCATATACTGTGCACCACTACGCTTCCCCTTTGGCAATCCAGGATCTCAGGGCCCAACACAGCCTCATACCACAGGCCAATGGAGCCAAGCTTTAACACCGCCCTGCCCGGCGCTTCAAGGGCGGTCAGGCAGGAGAGCCACGCGAGGCACGGGGGAGAGCGCGGCAGAGCAGCAGGCTGCTCAGGCCCTGCGCCCCGCACCCGTTTCTGCCGTTTTTGCTGCCGGCTCCGTCCCCGCCCGCGC